AAAGGAAAACCAACCCTGACAGAGCCGGGGTGTGACATTGGGCCCTTGTGTCGCCCGCTCTGGCGGTGGGCCCGGTGGCTGAGGACACTGCTGCCCCATAGTCCTCCAGCTGCGGTCGCATCGGGATGCCGGCCCATCCAGGGAGCCGCTCCGGCACGGCAGTGGCCCGTTCCGCTGCTGATGCCGCTCAGGGATGCGAGTTGGAGCCAAGCCTGGGGTGTGCGACGTGGCTCCAAAATAACCACGATTATAACGAAATATACTGGATTCAGTAGCGAAATAACTGGATTCAGGGACCGGAGTGGGGTCGGGGACCTCGACGCCCGCGGCACCCCTCCGGCTCATCCCGGAGCTCCACGCGTCGTTTTGGTGTCGCGCCTGGGATGCCACGGGGGAGAGTTTCCAAAGCACTGGGAAGGCTTAGGCTAAGGCTTGTCGTGATGTCAGTGGGATTTGGGTAGTTACGGATGCAAGCCTGCAAGGTATTTCGGAAAACGTACCGCCATTGAGCGGTCGAAGTGGCAACGCTGTTGTTTGGCCCCTATGAGATGCTGGTTTTTTTAGTATTTGTGATTGTGATGTTTCCCTAGCACGGGTTCAATTCATCCTCCTTTCCTAACGGAAAAGGCAAAGCAAAATGTCTAAAGCAGTTGAAGGAGGTGGACTGGGTAAACTTTGCTGTTGTCTTTGAAAAATCTCTCCTTGGATAGGAGTGTTTAAAAAAAATGAAATTATGACCTCATGCTTTCGTGCTTTTTTTTAAATTCATTTCTATTTCAGCTGACGTTTGTTACGGCTCCTTTTAACAACGTTTGAACCAAAAACAAGGTCCAGATTTGATGATTTTATTTATGCCAAATAGAGTTCTGGTCACTGAGCTTGCCTTTGGATAATGAACCTTTCCTTTTTTTTTTTCCTTTTTCAGCCTGATGGCACCAGCAAGGAGTGTGTCTTCATCGAAAAAGTCCTAGAAAACAACTACACGGCACTGATGTCAGCAAAATATTCAGGCTGGTATGTTGGATTCACCAAAAAAGGGAGGCCACGGAAAGGGCCCAAGACCCGGGAAAACCAGCAAGATGTACATTTTATGAAGAGGTACCCAAAGGGGCAAGTGGAGATACAGAAACCTTTCAAGTACACAACAGTCACCAAGAGGACTAAGAGAATACGACCCACCAACCCCAGTTAAAAATCGACAAAACCAGTGTCACAATAATAAACCACAAAAAAAAAAAAAAAACTGCACCAGAGGAATATTTTTACATTAAAAATAAGGAAGAAGCTCTATTTTTGTACATTGTGTTTAAAAAAAAAAAAAATAAAAAAAATTAATAAAAGACTAGATGGCAAACGCTGGGGAAAAGCTGTTAGGGATTTATTGTGACTTGAAAAACAAAATGAACTGCTCTATTTAAATTGACTTCTTGTTGTTGATGACACACAGGTGCTTATTTCGCTTTTTTGGAAAGGACAACTTTTCAAGCATATCCCCAGAGGAAAAAAAAAAAAAACAAACCACAAAAGTAATTATTAAAAATAAATAAATAAAACCAAAGAAAACCAAAGTTCTGTCCCAAAGTTACGGAGACCCTGCCCCGAAAAGTGCCGGTTTTGCAGTAATCTATTTATTGTCTGCTGCACGCCGGCCCAAGACAAGATGGTGTGTGCCGCAGTGGTTGAGTTTCCGTGGAGTTCTCGACGCATCGATCTTCTGTAACCTTTCTGACGACATAAGGTGTCACGGCTCCGTGATCCTGCATTATGCTCAGTTCTGGAGAATGCTGCTAAATACATTCAAGTGACTACAAGATGACCTAGTACACCAATGATAAGGGAATATTTTAAAACCAGCTATATTATATATATTATATATATATAAGCTATTTATTTCACCTCTCTGTATATTGC